AAAAAGTTGATGCTGCAAGAGTAGAAGTGCAAAAAACATGAATAGGAAAAGAAAGTATCAAAGACTAGTAAAAGACGAAACCAAAAAAACAATGAAAATATTTGCCTCTTCAAATTGAGCATAAAGGACTCATAATACCTTTCAAGAGGATTTTGCATTCCACGAGTCAAATCAATTCTGACATTGCTAACAGCAATATCATCTTCTTTTAGCAGTACTCCATTTTTCTGTTAAAATTAAATTGCATCGTGTCAATATTGGAGACTACTTGATCATTTAGCTTAAAAACAGATGCATAAGATCATGCACATGTCAATGGGAAAAAATCATGAAAGGACCTGGGAACAAGCAATGTCTTGGGCAGTGACATTTTTGAAATGCTCTAATTTGTCTTTTGGAACTGAATACTCATTACAGAACTGCCACAGAAAATAAACCATTATATAATAAGTTGTCTTGCACATAATGGGGAAAAAGAACCCAGAAAATAGAATAGCATGTTGATTTGCATGCTACCATTATACACAAAGACAAAAGTGAAATTAAGCAACGCTTTTCCACCTGATACAAATTTCTCCGACGAATGCGCAGAATCAAATCTCTAGATTCTCGAAGTTCTTCATCTGGAGCTGTCTCAATAGTTTTGATTATTGAGTCATCCAGCTGGAATCGAAGAAGAAAAGAATGCAAAGCATGTTATACATTTGGACTCTAAATTATTAGCAATGCAAAAGTATGCTAAGCATGTTGTCCAACCTTCCAGTACTCGGAAGGATCCTGAATGGAAGATGAGATTTCTAGATAACTATTTGCTTTCAAAAGAGCATCTACTACCATAAGCTCAACTGCCTGCAATAAAAATGAAATGAGTCATTGCTACATCAGATAAGAAGTAAGCCTACATTACTAATGACACAACAGAAAAAGAGGAGAGAAAAGTCAACATCGTGAAGAAGATTTGTTTGAACAAGATGATATGGTAAAGACTTAATTTTGTGAATACCTTCACTTTAGAGTGGGTGTACACAGTTCGATGAAGTTCAGCACGAGTAGCATATAACTTGTGGATGCTAAGATCTAGCACCCATTACCAATATTAAGCAGGAGTTAATAAAACGGACTAAAAGTAAAAGTAAACATGTACTTTGCAAATAAATGAAACAGGTGATACTAACAGTCTTTAGCACGATAGCAGACCTCATCACCCAAAACTCGCATTGTCTCCATCAACCTGCAGGTGGTGTAGTATACATATAATGCTAGCAGAAGAAATCTTATAACTTTCATTTTTCTTTTTGCTTTTTGCGTTTTAATGCATCTATTGATAACAGAAATTGCAAGCTAAAAGCCTGGAAGATTTAACAAAAACCTGTGGAAATCAAAGCTGCATCCTAAGCCACAAGCTCGACTGTCGCGGACAATGTAATCAAACCTACACAAATAAAATATCAAGTTGTTAAATACTTGCATTTAAATAGGAAATTAAATTGGATGGAAGATGTGGACAAATAATTAATTTGAACTTACTTATCCACATCAATTCCATTCCGACCATTTGCAACAATATCATATAAGAATTGCTTGTCCTTTGCACCCTTCAAAATAAGCACAAAATAGTCAATGTACTATGATAAAGAGAAGAAATAAAGAACGTCCATAGTTTTTCCCAATACTGGAGAGGGAAAATAATCCAGTGATCAACATATGCCCTAAAAAATGGATGTTAGAGATAAACACTTACTTTTGGCAGTACAAACTCAGAGCTAGCTAGTATCATTTCCTGGAAAATAAATAAATGAATATGTATGAAAATCAATCCAGCAACAGGAAATCAAAATTGCTTCTCATACCCATATACAGATTAATCAGCCCCTTGTTTTGGGTGGGCCTACTCAAGGATTCTTATCATAAACATAAGGATCAAAGAGAAAGGAAAAGCTGCAAGCAGAAACTATGAGGATATATGGAGGAAGAAATAAACATGTAGACGTCAGGAAAGTTTCAGTTTTTGCTTAATGGCAACAAAAGGAGTTAAAAGAAATAAATTATATAGTTAAGTGCGGTTGAACTTCAAAAAGCACAGGAATTATTAGGTCAAAAATACACTTTTAAGTATATTTGGAAATATTTGCTACATCAGTTCAAATGGCTCTGCATATAAACCAGTTCTGAGGATTCTAGACATGCCATAGGAAAGAAAAAAAAACCATACAGAACCGAAAAGAAAGAAAAAACATTGTGTCTGAAAAAAATTCCTAACAAGATCAACTTACCTTGACTCTTTTAATCATCTCAGATTCAACATCAATATGGTGTTCATCAACAATATGATCAATCAACTTCACTGACATTTCTTCATGAGCCCTAGAAAATAGATGTGATGTAAAATGGATGAAAACCACTTTTTTCAAACCCTAACATTAACTGAGACAAGAAGAAAAGCAATGTACTGATTAACTATCAAAATATCATTTCATGCAAAAGACATCAGAGTCTCATGCTGATACTACATACATGTGAGATCACTGGTTGATCAATATTTTAATATTAGAACAGAAAAAAAAGCAAGGAGTAAATAATGCAACATATAAAATTGTTTGTTTACCATTTGAAGCCATTAAGAACTTTGGGGAGAAACTCCCGTTCAAATAAGTGGCTAAAAGGTCCATGGCCTACATCATGTAGAAGTCCTACAATTGGAGGAACAAAATCCATAAAGAACAAAAACAAAACTGATAGGTAATTTTGAGAGAGAGAATGAGTGTGAGAGATAGAGAGAGTTTTAGAGAAATTTCGAAAAAGTCCAAAGTCTCCGATGAGGAATGGACTATGTTCATTGATAATCTTAGCAAGAGAGTTACGAGAGGTGGTTTAAGGTATCTTTTTAGTCCTTATGGTCAGATTATGAGAATTTTTATCCCACGTTTTTTAGAGAAACCAAATTATAAGTCTTCAGCCTTTGCATTTGTCCAATTTGCTGATGGAGAAAGTAGAAAGAAGGCAATTCAGTATACTCATGGTAAGTGGATTGATGGGAGAAGGATTTCAGTAGGGATTGCCAAATATCAAAAGACTATGAGGAAGGAAAACTGCTGAAGGGAAGAGGTTGATGGGAAACAAGTCAGGTAAACAGGAAAAAACACAAACCGAGAAGAAAGTTGTATCAGTGAGAAGCTTGAGGGATGAAAGATCTTATAAGGATGTTGTGAATAATGGCCTTAATGCGAGAAGAGAACAAGTTTCAGGGGAGAAACTGGTGGGTACAAAACAGAATGCAAGTGGTGTTAGGAACGTATGGGAGATGCACATTCCGGGGAACCATTCGGAGTGGGTTAAGCGATCATTAACAAGGATAATGAAACATTCCTATGAACAAGATTCGATAAAGGAAGCTCTGAAGATCGAGGGAGTGGGAGTTGAGATATCGAAATGGGGTTATGCATGGAATGCTTGCATCATTACATTCAATACGATTGAGGAGCTTACATACGTATGGAAGAATAAGAGAGAAGAATTATGCTTATGTTTCGACTGGTTGGCTCCAGTTTTGAATGATGATGGAGTTCCATTGGCCCTTTGCCAACTAGAGATGTACGGAGTGCCCCTATTGTGCTAGAATGAGGCATTCATAGAAAAACTTACTGGGAAATGGGGAAAATTCATTTGTTTTAATGAAGATTCAAAGAGCAGATTGGATTTATCAGTGGCAAAAGTACTGCTAAGAGTGGAAAGTCCATTCGATGTCCCTGATACGGTCACTATTGGTTCTTATGGCAGATCGTTCAAAGTGAATGTATCCCTGGGTTCTGTTTTGAAAAAACCAGAAGAATTGATGGGGAAGATGGAGGAGAAATTTTCAAAAATTTTGCACAGTGATTATGTCATGTCTGTGCAGGGGGGATGGGCAGCGTCCTACTCTGGCAGCAGCTATAAATCAGGAGTTATCAGAGGAAGCCAGGCATAAAGTCTTATCTTGGCTGAATAATAAACAGAATAGTGGAGTGAATGGAGTCAGTAGGGGACAAGTCCCATCGAGTAAGTCAACTGAAGAAATTGCTAATTGTGGGCTGTCAGTTTTTATGGAAAATATGAGTAACCAGAATAAGAATCACGTGGGGCTGGGATTAAGGGAAACTTTTGAACCAGAGGATAAAGCCCAATCAGATGAAATTGGGGTTGATTTTTCACCAATAAGGAAAATTATCCCTACTGGGCCTGCTTTTATTCCTGAGTGGGTTGGGGAGAAGAATGGTACTGGTAGATTTATGTGCCAGCCCAATACCATTTCAGTTAATCATAGAGAAGTTGCAGAGGAGGGTGCAGTTACGTTGGTGAAAGAAAAGACAGGGGGGGAGAAAGAAATGTCAAACAGTTAGCAGGATGTTGATATGGATAAAGAGCAGCATGTTGGCTTGAGGAGTCGACAGGAGAATGAAGCAGCTAATACACTGAATTTTAATGATTTTGAGAGAGACAAACTCTCTGTCAAACAGAGGGTTGGTTCAAAGAAGAATAAAAGGGTAAAGGATGATAAACAGATTGGTCTGATTGAGAGTAAGCTCTTCCAGCTCGTGTGTAAGGCAGAGAAATGTAGTGAAGCAAGTTGGAACTAGTTCAGAGTTAATTATGGATGGTCAGTTCAAAAGAAAGGAGATTAGTTTGTCTTCTTCCAAAATTCATGTTCAATGTCTTCATCGGGCAAAAAGCTTAAATAATCAGAGGAGACTAAAAATTGCTCCACGGCGTTCAGGTAGTGTGTGCTCAGAGAGGGAAGTGTCAATCAGTTTTTTTGATAGAATTTATAGAAGGGTGTATAGAAGTATGGTCAGGGATTCTTTGGAAAAAGACAGATCATCCTCAAAGTCTTCACACTCTTCTCTTAAAGCTTTGAATGAAGCTATTGCTACTAGAGAAGTTTGCAACATGTTGGGGATTAATTTCAAAGGGGGACAACATTTGTTAGAAGAGGAGATTTTAAAGATGGAAAGGAAGGGGTCTAGGAAAGAAAGGGAGTAATTTAGTCTTCCTTTTCAGGGGTTTTAAGATTTAATATTCCAATGTCAAATCTTAAAATTATTTCATGGAACATAAGAGGTTTAGGGAGAAAGGAAAAAGTCAGAGCAGTAGCCCGTCTTGTAAATAGGGATAAACTGATTGTCTTATTTCTACAGGAGACAAAGTTGAATCAATGTTTTAATGGGTTAAGAAGGAGATTAGGGGGTAAGATGCTTCAAGGAAAAAGTTTTTATCCGGCTGATGGGTCAGCAGGAGGGTTGATGTGTTTATGGAATGAAACTTTTTTTCAAGTTACACGGGAAGAAAAGAACAACAGATTTGTGGCAATCTCAGGAATGTTCAAGTTGTATAAGTTTGAGTGTGTATTAATTAATGTGTATGGCCCGTCAGTGGAGGAAGAAAAGGAGGAGTTCTTTAGGGAGCTGTTGAATTTTGTTACAAATTTAAATCTACCAATATGCATAAGGGGAGATTTGAATGCCTATCTTAATCCATCTGAGAAATATGGAGTTGCACAGAATTGGCATGCTCTAGATCTGCTCAGATCCTTTTTTCAACAAACAAACCTCATTGATCTCCCTTTATCAGGAGGTATGTACACTTGGTGCAACAATAGAGAGTCTCCTACGTGGGTAAGACTGGATCGTTTTCTGGTTAGTAGCAATTTTTTACAGGGGTTCCCTAAATTGGTACAAAAAATTCTACCTAAATCACTCTCTAATCATAACCCTATTGTGCTGGAAGAAGATGGGCAGAACTGGGGTCCCAAACCTTTTAGATTTTTCAACTATCTATTAAAGGAAGAAGGTTTTGATGATTTGGTTGAAAACTCCTTGGTTGATTTGAAGAAGAAGAAGGGAGGTAGGGGAATTTTTAATTTATTAAAAGGTACTAACATGAAAATAAGGAGCTGGTCCAGCAGTAAATATATGGGGATCTCAGAGACTATTTCAAAAATTGATTCCAAAATAAATGACTTGGAATTGAAATCACAAGGTGTTGCCTTTTCGCCTCAAGATAGAGACCAGTTAGTGTTGCTCAGAAGTGAATTATGGAGACTGCACAGAATAAAGGAGAGCATTTGGCGCCAAAAGTCTAGAGTGAGGTGGGTCAAAGAGGGAGACAAGAATACGAGGTATTTTCATTTAAGTGCCTTGAACAGAAACATATTAAATGCCATTAATGCTTTGAAGGTGGATGGTGTAGAATTGACAGACACAGTTCAGATTAAGGCTCATGTCTTGGATTATTTCAAAAAAGCTTATAATACGATTAATACGCTGGAAGTGGGAGAATTTGAATTTATTTTTGCAAAACTATCTGTTGTGCGAAGGGATCGTCTTGAGGAGATTTTTTCAGAACAGGAAGTTTGGGAAGCAATTTCTTCATCAGCTAGTGATAAAGCCCCTGGACCAGATGATTTTACTATAGGATTTTTCAAGAAGTATTGGCCTATGTTAAAGGAGCAGATCATGAAGTTTGTCTTTGACTTTTATAGTGGAAGAAAATGGGACCATAGGGTTAATAATGCATTCATTTCCCTAATTCCTAAGAAACTGAATCCAGAAAGTTTAGAAGATTACAGGCCAATTAGCCTTGTTGGCAGTTTATACAAGATCATTTCTAAAGTTCTATCCAAAAGATTGGTTTCTTGTATAAAAAATTTGGTTAGCCCTTATCAGTTCGCATTTATTCCTGGTAGGCAACTTCTTGACTGTGCATTCTTAGCTAATGAAGGTATAGATTATTGAAGGAAGCAAGGGAGGAAGGGGGTAGTCTTCAAAATTGATTTTCGAAGAGCCTATGATACAGTTGAATGGCCGATTCTTCTTAAAGTAATGAAAGCTATGGGTTTTGGAGAGAAATGGGTTTCTTGGATTGAATATTGTCTATATTCTGCCTCAATTTTGGTTTTAGTAAATGGTTCTCCTACTGAAGAGTTCCCAATGACAAAAGGGTTAAGACAAGGCTGCAGCCTTTCCCCTCTACTGTTTAATCTAATTGGTGAACTCCTACATCTAATGGTGATTAAAGCTTCTGATTTGGGACTTTTCCAGGGGTTTGATATTGGTAGATCAGCTAATCCTTTCCTTTTGACTCACCTACAGTTCGCTGATGACTTGATTCTGTTTTGCCATGACTCTCTTACTAACATTCAGAACATCAAAAGAGTGCTAAGGATTTTCAGTTTAATGACAGGGTTACATTTAAACATATCTAAGAGTAAACTGTTTGGTATAAATGTTGAAGCTACTACCTTAAATGAATGGGCGAATGATATTGGATGCTCAGTGGGCTGTTTTCCTATGGATTATCTTGGCTTACCTATAGGTGCAAAGAAAAACTCTGAAGTACTTTGGGAGCCGGTTTTACAGAACTTTAACAAGTTAGCTGGTTGGAAGGCTTATTCACTGTCAATGGCGGGCAGATTAGTGCTTATAAAATCGGTATTATCATCGTTACCGATTTTTTTCTTATCCATTTTCAAAATGCCGCTCAAAGTAAGGCAGAAAGTTTAAACATTGATGGCTAACTTTCTTTGGGGGGAAAGCTCAAACAAATATCGAATGCACTGGGTTAGTTGGCAGGCAGTTTGTAAACCTTTGGAAGATGGTGGCTTGGGAATTTTGAATTTGAATATCACAAATAGGGCTTTGTTGGGTAAATGGGTGTGGAAATTTGCAAATGAGAAAGATTCACTTTGGAAAAGGATGAGGCTTTCAAAATGGTTTTTAGCCAAGTTTCCTACGGTTCATATTCAGGAGGATCTGCTGATTGGTAATCCATCCCTAGCAGATGGGTTTTCTTTATCCATAGCCAAAGTTTGTCATGTCTTGTGTTGGATTCCCCCCTGTTGATTTTCTTAAGTTGAATGTTGATGGAGCTGCTAGGCTTGATGGCTCGGGTGGAGGTATTGGAGGTATTTTGAGAGATTGGGAGTGTTGCACACTTTTGACTTTTTCAGAGAAGGTTGGCCAAGGTACTCCTCCACTTGTTGAATTAAAGGCTATTAAAAGAGGCATTGAAATTTTTCTGGCATCACGTTGGGAATCTGTTGGGAGATTGATTGTCGAGAGTGATTGCAAGTAGGTAGTGGAATGGATTCAATCACCGGCTTTGGCTCCTGCTTTCTACTCGCCTATAGTTAATCAGATTTTGACTCTTTCAAATGGTAAGGTCCATTCAGTGAGGTGGATTCCAAGGCTGAGCAATGGGGAGGCAGATAGCTTAGCAAAGAAAGGGATAGGTTGACTGTAAGGCTCTATCACTGGATTTTCTGGTCCAGCGAGAAGGTCTATTTGAAAGTAGTTGTTAAGTTTTATGTGATGTAATTTGGTGTAGTGTTTAAATCTTATGTTAACTTTTATTATCAATAAAATTTTTAAGGCACTTTTTTCCCCCTTCCGATGATTAAGGAGCTTACCCCTAAGCTCCTTTAATCAAGAAGGGGGTTTTTAACGAGGCCTTCCATTCCTATAAAAAAAAAAAGATATACAGCAAACACAATGCTAGTACTTTATCTCTGTCAATTAGCAACGTTGTTTCGACTCAAGATTCCTGGATTTGGAAAGGAATTGTGAACAATTATTTGAAAGATGATGATATTGGAGGATGTTTGAGATCGAATACTAAGACTCAATTGGGAAGTGGCAAGTCGATTTCGTTTTGGAATGATGTTTGGGTCAATGACCTACCCTTGAAGATTCAATTTCCCAGGATATTTGCATTATCAAACAATAAAAGGGGTAAGGAGGCAGATTTTGGTTGCTTTGATGTAAATGGATGGGTGTGGAATGTTCAAACAAGAAGAAGCTATTTTCTTTCTTGGTCTGGGAAGGGGGATGGTCTGTTCTCGGTGAAATCCTGCAGGGTGGCTCTATCAAATAGTCAAGGAGATGGTTTTTCTTGGAAAAGATGGGTTTGGTCAGGTTTCGCTCCTCCTAGAGTAGAAACCTTCCTTTGGCAAATCATACACAAGAAATTGGCAGTCAGAAATGAGCTGAAGAAAAGGGGTGTTCCTATAGAAGACGCACTATGTCCACTATGTAAAAAGAATGAAGAAACAGTCCAACATCTTTTTTTCTCCTGCTCAGTTGCAGGGGATATTTGGAACAAAATGTTGAAGATTTGGGACATCTATACAGCTTTGCCTAATGATCCACAAGTTTTGCTAAGTTCATGGTCTGATCTAAACAAAATATCGAACATATGGAAATTCATTCCGGGAGTAGTTCTTTGGTCTATTTGGAAAGCAAGGAATTCAGTTGTGTTTGATAATTCTAGCCTTGATATAACCTCTCTCTTTTTCCTAATAAGATTTTAGGTTGGCTAGATGGTTTCTAGCAAAGTTTCCTAATATCCAAATACAAGTTGATTTGTTGGTAGGGGACCCCTCTTTAGCAGACAGGTTTGGTTACCAGAATACTCACAGGAGTTTGAAACACAGTTGGCAACCTCCCCCTACAGATTTTTATAAATTTAATGTTGATGGGGCTGTCAAGTCTGATGGGATGGCGAGAGGAATTGAAGGTATTTTGAGAGATTGTAATAGCATCATCCTATCGCCCTTCTCTGTTAGTATTGGTCCAGACCCTCCTCCGTTGGCTGAACTAAAAGCTATTAAGAAAGGCCTAGACTTTTTTCTATCATCAGATTGGGCTGTAAAGGGAAGATTGATCTTAGAAAGTGACTGTAAATCTGCTGTAGACTGGATTCTGCTACCTAATTTTGTTCCTAGTTTCTTCAATTCACTTGTTGAGGATATTGTGTCCTTAGTTCAAGAGAGGGTGGTTATTATTCGATGGATTCCTAGGGGATGTAATTGGGAAGCAGATAAATTAGCTAAGGATAGGATTGGTTGATTGTAAGGGTATTTTTATTGGGTGTTTTAAGATTATAGTTTTATTTTGATGCCCTAAATGTATTGGTATAATTTATTGTAATAGTTTCTCCATTCAATAAACTAAGGCACTCTTTTCCTCCTTCCGCTAGTTACTCTTTCCTAGAGTTAACTAAGAGGGAGATTTTTAATGAGGCCTATTATTCCTATCAAAAAAAATCCATAAAGAACCAACTCAAATTAAATAAAAAGAAACTTCAGGGCAACAAATTTTTACCTGCAACTTTCACTGTTTGAACATCAAACTGATCAATACCAAGTTCCGAACCCTACACAAGTGGATCTTAGAATATATACATAGAATATGGTAGACTGGGATAGCAGAAAAATAATTTTATACCTGATAGGTTTTGAGCTTTTGGATAGCTACACCTGCAAGCCAATACACACCAAGAGAATGCTCAAACCTGGAATGCACAGCCCCTGGGTAAACCATGTGTACCAATCCTGAAACAAATTAATAGTTAGTAACATCAACGAGTTACAGCCTTGCATGTAAGCGTGAATTATGCCGAACCAAATAAAATAAACATTGCACAAAATTCAAATTTAGGTAAAATCAACACCAAAGCAATGGAATGCCGTTGTTTAGTCTGATACAAGTGAACTACTTAAGATGCTTTGAATAGAATTGTATTTTACTAACAGGGATCAATGAAACTGACAAGAAACAACATAGTAAAGCATAATATTCATTTACCTTAGAAACTGCTGAATCAAATCATCATTTTAATGAAGACCAAGCATGCTGCATTTTATGCTAAGAAAAATTGTAAAAAAATAGATAGTTTTGCTTTAGTATAGAATCTGACTACTCATCCATTCCATTTCCATCCGAGCAACAGCATGCAAATGAAGAAAACGGAAACTCTCAAATCAATTGTATAGTGAACCGATATTACTTCAACACTAATAAAAAAACCGGTCCCTTACTTTTATGCAGCATGTGATGTGTTCATTATCCCAAACAAAGACATCGATGGAGGTCAGAAAATCATAAAAAAAATCCTAGTTTTCTATGTAACCACTATACAAATCTGTAGTCATTTCAAAATTTATCATATAAAAAATTCTGACACTGATTTATATTATATGCTATAAATCAACCACGCAATCCATTTGATGCAATTGACAATTCAAAAACATCCATTCTCGTAGGAAAAAGAAATGATAAAGAACTCGAAAATCAACTTTACCAAGTTGCTTCAGCTCACGAAGTCTGTATCATGAAAATAGAGAAACAATATCAATAAATGAGATCTGAATTGAAGCTGAAACAGTAACGAAATAAAAATCAGCTTACCTTTGAAATTGCTCGGTGTCCATGAACTTCAAAGAGAGCTGCGACGAAACATAACATTTTAAAAATATATATTATTTTTTATCCCGCTTTTTAAGAAGAAAAAACACAGCTACGGTATTCGTCTTCGATCTTCACTCTCCAGTCAACAGAAATTGAAAATTAAAAATTAAAAAACAGTAATAATCTTAAGAAGAAATTTAATTTAGTATATCGAAACAGTGAAGAGAATCACAACTCCGATTACAATTTTCAAAAAAAAAAATATACTCATATGTAAGGCACTTTACCAAAATAAGCAATAGAAACGGCTAAAGTTTTTCAAAAAGAGAGAGAAAAAGAAATACATACAGGGTCGAGATAAATGTTGCCGTGAACGTTGTCACGGACGTGTTTGGAGAGCCGGAGGTCGCGCGAAGTAGACAAGTTACAATCTGGAGACAAAGAGGTGTTTTCATTACGGTACGCAGCCATTTTTTTTAAGAACGATTTTGAGAGAGCGAAAGAGAAAATAACGATAAAAAAAGAAGAATATTAGGGAATTGTGGAAGAGCCACCAAGATTGTCCTAATATCTTGGATTTTGTGTAACTAATGCGGTGATTTGTTGAAGAATTAGAGTATCATCGAAATTATTTATTAAGATGTGTGAATGTTACAGTAATTAGAGAGTTATAAAAATTACAGTGCGATTTAGGATGCAAATGTAGACTTTGAATAAGTAGGGGTGGAGGACGGGGGAGACGCATTGACTGTAGCGCGATTTTCGGGCGACTTATTGGAGTCATATTATGTTTTCATGATTTTCGACGAATACTGTAACATATAAATTAAATTAGAAAATAATTTTGGTGAAATTCTATTTCAGCCAATAATTTTTGTCACAACACTGGAGGAGAAATTCAACTAACAAAAATCTTTAGCTTTTTTAAAAAAATCTTTTTCTTTTTCTATTTTGGAAATTTTGTATATCAATTATAATATTATTAATATGTTGATTTTTAAGTGTATTATTTGACATTTATGATTGAGTAAATATTACAAGACATGTATCAGTGGTCGAATCAATCATGTTATTAAGTTTTTCATTTAATAAAAATAAAATATTAAATATTAAAAATGTAAAATAAATTCAATTGTTTAAACGGTTGATATTTTAAATTCACAGTAATGAGTTTAATTCTCAATTTTATTTTACAATTCAAGTTATTTAATCATTGAATTTTAATTTAATCAATTGGCCTGATTTAATCTTAAAATCATACCATAAGTAATTTTATTCTATAGTCATGTGTCTTTAGTCAATATTTGAATAAAAAATCACATAATAATATGTTAAAGTTATTTTTTAAAAATAAGAAACTGGTAAATTAAAATACACTCAAAAACTATAATTATTTTAATTACTTTTAAATTATATATATATATATATATATATATATATATATATATATATATATATATATTGTTTTTTCCTAGATAAAGCCTACTATAATAAAGCCTACATATAATAACTGAAGAGAGCATTCCTAACATAAATATAATTTTAAACTTTATTTATTAAATAAATTGAATACATGTAAAACAAGTTAAATTTACTTACTTTTATTAATATTTTTTTATATTTATTTAAAGTTCATTTAATAACATTTAAACTATATTTACCATAAAAAAACTTCGTTTATACCTCATGTATTGTGTGACAATTATATAGATAATATTAATATTTGTATGCTATTTTATTTATAATATATTTACTAATATTTATCTTTAGCTATTTTAAATTTAAAATAATAAACATTTTTATTTGTAAATTGTTTGTTTATTATTTAATAGTATGTTTTTAATTATTTGTGTTTGTTAAATTATATGTCTTTCAATATTTTTTTTAATGTATTTAAATATGTTAGTTCAATATTTATAAACATTTATATAAATATATTTTAATATTCGTAAATATATTTATTTATTATTAACATGCAAATTTATTTAACTTAAACAAATAAATATAAATATATATAGTAAATATAATTTCAGAATTTAATCAAATACAAATAAACTTTTAAATAAACAAACAACATAAACAAGAAAATATATATTCACACTCAAATTCTTTACAACCTCACTCAAAATTTCATACTCAAACCTACAATTAAACCAATACCTAGTTAATAAGGAGGTTGGATAAAGTATATCGGAAATTATAATTTACATTTAAAATAACTCAATTGTTAATTTTTTTAAAATTTATAAAATAATTATTAAATTTATCAAATTATTACAAAATAGTCACTACGATGTTATAACAAATATAAAAGTTTAATCATTTAGAAATAGTTTGAATTATTTTTCGAATAGTCTGAGTTATTACAAGATAATATATGTTTAGAATATTTTTTAGTCATTAACAATGTATGTACACTTTACAGACGCACTACTCAAATTTAGGACCTTTAAGAATAACAATATTTTTTACTACTAGTGTCGTTAAATATAATAAATTTAATATTAAATAATTTTAAATAACTATAAAATAATATCTACTTATAATTTTTTAATAATTGATAATATATACCCCTGTAGACGCTTCTTAAATCCGAGGAGATATTGGAGGGGGTGGCGAGACTTCGGATTTCGAATAATATTGAATTTGAAGAGCAGAATTTTATTGCAACGATGAATGAAGCAAGAGAGGTCGGTTCATCATTTCATATCATGCCAAGCACTTCTAGTAATTGCCTAGGTCAGCTCAATCTAAGTGTCATATATGAGTATATATTTAATTTTTCCAGTTTTTCCATGTATTCGGAGTATCTTAAAAGGTTCATGTTCGCACATGATTCGGTGTCCAAATATATGTCGGGCACGAGTACTTCAAGTAAAATAAAATGTTCGAGTAACATAGTTCAATGGCTTTTAACTTGAGAAGAGTGAATAGAGAACTGCTCGACGATTTCCATCCTACGTGGTTGGTTGCTTGTTTGTGTTTCCATTCTTATGTTGTTCATGGAGTTTTTTATGCTTATTTCAGCTTCTTTCAAATATATATGTGTATATATATGTAGGTATTTATAAATGTACTTACTGATATACTTGCTACAGAGGCGAGCGAAGTTGAATGCGGGTGCCCTGACTGGCTGACTCTTCCCGTGGGGATTCGAGCTGAAAAGGCCCTCGATGCAATTTATGTATGTTGCTTCGGGAGCGATCCGATAGAAGACGAAGACAAGAGCTTGCTAGATATTATGCCAATAGCAGTTTTCCCAACCGTTGAGCAAAAAGATCATCAATGACAAGGCAATCAAAGTAGCAGAAGGTGGTGATGATGCAGACATTGTTCCAGAACCAAAGTCATTATCAAAGGAAGCTGTACAAATGCAAATGAAAGACGTTGAATTCCTTAAACAGAACAAGGAGACGCGAAAGAAACTGATTTTAACAGAAAACAGATTGGTTCATTTCGTCGAACTACACTTTGGTGGTATCAGAAACTGAAGGTAAGAAAATGGCTCAATGATACGGAAATCATCCAACACTTTGCTGCATATATAGATCCTCCATGTTCAAATCGCTCTCGATAGAAGATAAAACATGGGGGGTTTAAATCAGCCTTCCATTTCTCTATCTCTGTTTATGTATTGTTTTGCTGTAGTTTGAAACTCAAATTTCTGGTACAAGCTTTTGAACAATAGCCACCATCGAAGGCAACAGCTTGTGAGTGAAATACAAGTTCAAAGCTCTTCTGCTTATCCTGTTCCTTTGGAACTCGTTCCACTCACGGTTAGAAACTTGGGTAAACTACCGTCAAGGTCCCTAAACTATGAGGTCGAAATGACCAATAAAACATGGGACCCATATCCATTTTATTTTGACCATTGAAAAAAAAACTGTATAATAGCACATCAGTTCTCATTAATTATATATTCTATCGAATTAGTTTTAATTTTAAATAAAAATAATTCAATTTATCATTTATTGGAGGAAAATAAAAAAAAATAAGAATATAAAAGTGGAAAGTCAAAACTAGGACTATCTTTAGAATGATGCTATCACACTCGATGAAAGCGGATGAGCACCGTTAATGAAAAGTATCATTATATTAATTTATAAAATATTAAATTATAAATTAATTAAAATCTTAAATATAATTTAATTAAAATACAATATTTATATAGAATTAGTTTTTAGGGTAAACTATATCATTAATCACTTAGCTATTTACACCTTTAGTTTAACCATCGATTTTTCAATTTTGTCAATCGGGTCACCTAATTATTTAAATATTGTCAATCAAGCCACTTGCCGTTAAATATTAACGGAGGATATGACGTGGTAGTTAATACAATTCGTATAATTATACATTGAGTCCTCATTACTTACACATTTTATTAATTTGGTCATAACTTTCATTTAATTTAATAAATTTAATAATTAATCTGATAGTGACATGTGTCACTATGTGATTGGATGTTTTTTTAATAAATTTTCCATTTAATCAAATGATGCCATGTGTCATCAATTGAATGAATGGAAAATAAATTAAAATAAAAAACCATAACTAGTGGGATTTGAACCGGGACACAAGACATCAAACTAAGCACCATAACCACTAAGCTCACCAACAACGGTTGTTGATCCAATTAATTTTTTATTCATTCAATTGGTGACACGTGACACCATTTGATTGAATGGAAAATTATTAAATTAAATAAAAATGTTAAGAAAAAAATTCAATCACATAGTGACACATGCCACCATCTGATTGAGGATTAAATTTATTGAATTAATTAAAAGTCATGACCAAATTAATAGAATGTGTAAATAATAAGGACTAAATGTGTAATTATATAAATTTTATTAACCCCCACGTCATATCCTTCGTTAATATTTAACGGTAGATGGCTTGATTGACAAGATTTAAATAGTTAGGTGACCCGATTGACAAAACTAAAAAATCGGTGGTTAAAGTAAAAAGAGTAAATAGTTAGGTGATCAATGATGTAGTTTACCCTAAAAACTAATGTTTTATAAATATTATATTTTAACCTAAATTACATTTAAATTTTTAGCTAATTTATTATTATACGTTTAATATTTTATAATTTAACGTTTTATAAATTAATTTAATAATGCTCATCGTTAACCGTATTCATCTATGCTTGAAGAGCGTTATAGAATTTTTTCTATTTTTATTCCAAATAAGAATAAAAGAAATAATAATTTTAAAACTTTATATTTATATATAAATATATCTTTACATGAGATAATGAGAAGGGAAGGAGTATTTAAACTCCCCAAAGTACTCATATTGACAAGTACTATTCCAAATTAATCAAAATTGAATTTTATTTTTATAATATCACATCGAATGTAAATTGAATCAATTAAAAATCTCGTCCTAAGCAATCACTAGTAAATAAAAATCAACTCCACTTAAGGTAAGGACTGAAAAGACCCAATGATAAATACGTAATTTTCTCTTCTTCCACACACCTTGGGGGAAATAGCTAAGGTGGTGTTTGTTTTTGCAGAGGTAAAAGGTCTGCAGTCTGCGGATCACATCTGCAGGCATCTGCAGCAGAAGAGGTGGACCAAAAGTCTGCAGTCTGCAAGAAGAAGATTGTTTGTTTTTTAACGTCTGTAGACTGTTAAAATGAACTAAAATATAAATAAACTGAAATATAAATAAACTGATTTTTTAAACTTAAAAGAGTTTTGCAATACTGAGATTTAAATAATTTTAGTTTTACAATACTGAAATTTAAATAATCCATACAGCTACAATAATAAATTATTTAAAATAAATCAATCCATATTTTAAAATAAATCAATCCATATTAATAAATTATTTAAAATAATTCAATCCATACAACTACAATAATAAATCAATCCATATTTTAAAATAATCAATCCATACTAATAAATTATTAAAATAAATCATCCATACAACTACAATAATAAATCAATCCATATTTTAAAATAAATCAATCCATACAAATAAATTATTTAAAATAAATCAATCTATACTAATAAATTATTTAAAATAAAACAATCCATATTTTAAAATAAATCAATCCATACTAATAAATTATTTAAAATAAATCAATTCATATTTTAAAATAAATCAATCCATATTAATAAATTATTTAAAATAAATCAATCCATACAACTACAATAATAAATCAATCCATATTTTAAAATAAATCAATCCATATTTTAAAATAAATCAATCCATACAAATAAATTATTTAAAATAAATCAATCCATACTAATAAATTATTTAAAATAAATCAATCCATATTTAAAATAAATCAATCCATATTTTAAAATAAATCAATCCATACTAATAAATTATTTAAAATAAATCAATCCATATTTTAAAATAAATCAATCCATATTTTAAAATAAATCAATCCATATTAATAAATTATTTAAAATAAATCAATCTATATTTTAAAATAAATCAATCCATACCAATAAATTATTTAAAATAAATCAATCCACACAACTACAATAATGAATCAATCCATATTTTAAAATAAATCAATCTATACTAATAAATTATTTAAAATAAATCAATTTATACTAATAAATTATTTAAAATAAATTATTTTAAAATAAATCAATTCATACTAATAAATTATTTAAAATAAATTATTTTAAAATAAATCAATCCATATTTTATAATAATTTATTTTAAAATAAATTATTTTATAATAAATTATTTTATAATAAATTATTTTAAAATAAATTATTTTAAAATAAATAACCTTATTAAATTATTTAAAATTATTTTAATAAATAATTATATTTTATAATTATTCTTGAAGAAGTTTGAAGACCTTTGAAGACATAAAACCAAGTCTGCACCAAGAAGAGCTCGCGCAGACGTTTGAAGAGCTTCTGTCTTCTAAAAAACAAACAGTCTGCGAAGTCTAATGTCTGCGCGTGGTCTGCGCGACGCAGACATAAGTAATTTGAAGAACTTGCACAGTGAAAACAAACACCACCTAAATCTGCATGTAAGTCTAGGGATGGGCATGAGACCCGAACTCGACGGGTTTCGACCTGACTCGATCTAATCGGGTCGGATTTTTTAAAAAAATCAGGGTCGGGTTGGATCGTTTTTTTTAATGTGATGTTTGGGTCGGGTTCGGGTTTAGGGTGAAAAATATCCGACCCGAAAAAATATATAATTTTATCTTATATATTTAGGAATAATTACAATAATACTCCTCTATATATTATTTTTTTTCAATTAAATCATTATTTTTATTGAATAAAAATAATTTTTTTTATTTCAGGGTAGGTCAGGTCGATTTTTTAAATTATATATCGAGTCAGGTGAAATCTTATTTTGATCGGGTCAGATTAGGTCTCAGGTTGAAGACTCATTGTTCTCAGGTCGAGTTGAATGGATTAAAAACCTGATCTGTGCCCATCGTTACATCTAACCACAATGGCAACCTAATGAAACGATCCGGGACAGAGAATTTCGCGTCGATAGCGTGATGTATTTGGAGAAGAAAAATATCAAACTAATGACCTTTTCACAAGGCTTGGAACGAAGATTCTTGTGATGACAAATAAATATAATAAAAAGAAGAAGGTTAACGAAACATGCATGTGAAACAACACTGACACTTCCGCCCTCGGAAGAAAATGTTCATGTTTAGCTTCTCAATTTTAAATTATTGAATTTTCATTATTTTAAAAGTTTTTTTAATCATTTGGAATAATTATAAATAGTATTTTTTTTATAATTTTTTAAGTATTGATAACGGACACACATCACAAACGATATTATTATGGATAGAAATTGTTTTTAAGTAATAACAAGATCGAAGTATTCGATATTTTTGTGACTAAAAGATTTAATAATAAAAATTTTCAAGTGATGGAATATGAGTTGGGGATTATTTTAAGTCCATATTGTAATGGGTAAAGTATACTAGAGGATCTTAAACCATGTTCAAGTGATTTTTTATTATTGAATTTTTTTAAATTATAAAATAATCATTATATTTATCAAATTATTATAAAATAGTCGTATGACAATATTTTCGTGATCATAAAATTCAGTAAGCTTAATGCTTATTTTATGATAGTTTGATAACTTAATGGCTATTTTGTAAAAATTAGTGAAAATTAATAATTATTTTATAATAATTTAATAAATTTAATAATTAATTTATAATAATTTAATAATTTAATGATTATTTTATAACTTTTAAAATATAAATGTAAAAAAAAGATCAAAGTAACAATTGGATTGCATCATAATATAGAATAACAATAAATTATTGTTAAATTATTATTATATTATGAAAGTAATAACATTTATGAAATAATAACAAATAACAGGGTAAAGTATACAAATGAGCCTTTGATTATATGTCGATGCTTTATCGAGCCTCTGATTATTAAAAGCTACAAAATAATATCCGACTATAGGATTGTTTTTTTGAGTCATTGACTATTAAAAGTTACAAAATAGTCACCCTATTATTCATATGTTTCAAACTCGTCCCTTTTCGTTAAAAAAATGATGACAGTCTGAGTTGAACGTTAACATATTGATTGAGACATGATAGTCGTTTAAGATTTTGATATCAAATTTTATCATATCACAGTCAGCAGTTTAACATCCAACTTAAAATGCAGTTAATTTTTTAACAGAAAATGACGAGTTTAGAACATATGAATAGTCAAGTGACCATTTTTGTAGCTTTTAATAGTCGATGGACTCAACAAAGTAATGTCCTATAGTCAATGAATTATTTTATAACTTTTAATAGTCAAGTGACTCAACAAAGAATACCCTATAATCGATAGACTATTTATTGTTAACTTTACCCCAAATAATAAAATAACCTAAAACACTATCTAATATTATAATCACTTTAAAAAGCACTTTTACACGACACTTTTCAAAAACATTACTAAACTGGTTTAGGAGAACAACAAAGACTAAATTGATAAAAAAAATTAAATAGAAATTGATAAATATTTTAAATATAAAAAATTAACTTGATTATAATATTTTAAACTAAGACTAAATTGATTAAATATATAAATTTTAAGTATCAAAATTATTATTATTTCAGACCACATCATTGTTCTATGTAATATTTAACACCAAGTGATATATTTAGACTTTTTAATTAAATAATAATACTTTTTTATGAAAATAACTTACTATTTATTATTAAATACATAATTAAATGATTTTAGGTGTATTTTATCTTAAAATTAATTATATATATATCTCAAAAGCATCATAATAATCACCCATTTAGTGCCAAAGAATAATATGTCAACGGAATATAAATTCAGAGTTAATCTCAAAGAAAAAAAGTTAAGGGCTCACTATAAAAGGAAAGTATAGTTTAAGGAGCAAACTATAATTACACCTATTAATTACATTACCTCAGTTGGTAGAACATAAAGTTCTTAATGAGGTCGTTGGATCGAGTCTCATGAAGGACATTTCATAAGGTCTCCTACGGAAGTTGCTCTCAACCTAGTGTTGGGGCAGCCTACTATCTTACCTCTCCTTACCTCATTACATATGGGAACAAGGGATAACCAATCATTTTGAGGACCAAAATACACGATACGATATATTCACTTTTACTCATCAAAATCTCTTCTTACATCCTAATATTTTACTTTTCCGCTCTCATTTTAGTTTGCTAAAACGAAAGCTTAGAAAATTAATTAACTTTTGAAGTATTTTTTATTAGCAAAACGTGAAAGTTGGAAGATTTGATCCAAAGGCCCTGAAACTCAACGGATTTTTTATTTGATCATAATATCTGTCGACCAATTATTGTCATCGCAAATTATCTTCATTAGAATCTGTCTTAAAAGAAGAAGAAAGAATTGAAGCTGAAAGAACCTTTAAAAGAAGTCTCGTGACATCGTTGGAAGGAGGTGGCGAGGTTTATCAGATTCAGCTCTGATTCAATCCGCTGGAATACCAGGTTCGTGTAAATCTGTGGTAATTTCAGCCTTTTTATGGATTTGTAGTTAGTTAAATTTTTTGGTTGTTGCTTTGGTGGTTTTTTGTAATTCTTTAATTTTGATTAGTTTTAGTTGTTTTGTGAGGAATTTGAGGAAACTTTGAAGTAATTTTATGAATGCCATATGCTGTGTCCTAGGTAATTACTTTGAATTTGGAATGGTGGTTTCAATTTAAGACTTATCTTTGAGTTTATTTGTAATTAAATTAGAGAATTATATAGAAGAATTTCCTTGTTATTGTTTTTTTAAAATAAAGTTAGTCTCGACTTCTCGATTGCTGTATAAAATCTAAAAGAAAAAAAAAACGAATTCGTCCGTTTTATTCAATTTTCGTCTTGTTTCAGAGGATTAATTATAGAGGAAAATGTTAAATTTCGTGTTTTGTGTTTCTATCTTTTCTTCAACGTCACCTTATACTTTTTACTTGTCTAGAATCTTCGACTTTTGCTTTTCTTTTTTAAATTTATTCTAGTTGTTGTTTTTTTTTTGGGGGGGAGGGGGAGTTTTAAAGTAAGAAATAACACTTTTTTCCTTGGTTTTATACAGATTAAAACTACATGCTATTACCTTTCTGATGACGGGCCTCTTGTTACCTCCATTTGTTTTGTTTCATCATAGCTAGCCCGAACTTTTTATTAGTTTTCGAGTGGTTTTGTTAGCTTTGTGCCATAGGGCATTTGCCAGTCTTTAGGCTTCTTTTTGCCATCCAGGGTAAATGACTTTTCTGGTGAGTTTTGTTGACTGCTCTCGTTGAACTGTCCACTACTGGTTCGAATAGTTCAATCACAGAATACTTGGTGTAATGCAAGGTCTTCTCCGTTATTTACTAGGATTTTGAGGTTTAAAGTTTAAACTGTATCCGCATGCAAGGAAAAGGATTGGGTAAGGCTATTAACTTGTTGACGTCAATTGACTTGTAATATCTCGTGCATTAAAAAGGAGAAGATGCTACCAAATTGGAAGAAGCCCCGTATTAAATTGGCAGTCCAATCTTTAGTTAAAACTATGTTTTTGTTAATGGAACATCTAGGAGCAAAGAGAGTGACAATAGTATGATGTAAAAGGAAACCATGGAGCTTACTTTGGAGAAACGATACCCAGTCTATCCAAAAGATTATAAGTTACAGGAAGAAATTGGAGAAGGTGTCAGTGCAACTGTGTACAGGGCTTTATGCATTCCACTTAATGAGATTGTTGCTATCAAGGTTCTTGATTTGGAAAAGTGCAATATTGATCTGGTAAGTACGATCTTTCGCAATCTGTTGTTTCGAAGTCATGTTTACTAGTAGCCGTACCTTAGAAGTCCCAGCAACTCCGTTGCATCAATAGTTGGCATCAATATATGATATCTGTTCATGATTGATGCAGGATGGCATCCGAAGAGAGGTACAGACCATGAGCTTGATTGATCACCCAAATTTAGTATGGGCACTTTGCTCATTTACTACCGGTCACAGCCTTTGGATTGTGATGCCATATATGGCTGGGGGATCTTGCCTGCATATAATGAAATCTGATTATCCAGAAGGTTTTGAAGAGCCTATCATTGCTACTTTGTTGCGTGAAGTTCTTAAAGCTCTTGTTTATCTTCATGCCCATGGGCACATTCACAGAGACGTGAAGGTTTTTAATTGCCCCTTTTTGTTTTATTTGTATACCATGTGTTTTCTTGTTTATTTCTGAAACTACTTTATTTTCAGAGGCCAAGCTTATTAGTTATTGACTTCCTCTTCAGTGTGATACAGCTTAAGCTATATTTTGTAACAATCTCATGAAAAAAATTATTGTTCTTTTCAAATAAACGCTGGATAAATATCTTTTTCTGAACTTTAGCTAATAGTCTCTTAGACTAGTAGTTCAATATGACTCTTTTTTTGGCAATGTGTCGACTGCTGACTGCCTGTTATTTTGTCCTTGTTCCTTTTCCTCCTCAATATGGGGATTTTTGTCTTTATTCTTGTCTATATTCATAACTTATGTTTGCAGGCTGGGAATATCTTAATTGATTCTGATGGCGCTGTCAAGCTGGCAGATTTTGGAGTGTCAGCATGCATGTTTGATGGAGACAGACAGCATTCCAGAAATACTTTTGTTGGAACTCCTTGCTGGTATTTGTGTTCCCTATGCCTTCCAACCGTCTAAGAGTTTACTTATATTAGTATTTTCATTATGTAAATTCAGTTTTTCAGAGTTGATAATGACCACAATGTATCTCGTTGTTGTTGTTTTATTTCAGGATGGCTCCAGAAGTTATGCAGCAGTTGCATGGTTATGACTTTAAGTGAGTTGATTACCTCTCTGATATATGCTTTTTTCTTTTATTTTCATTCTTTTGCTTTCTTATACCTTTTGAATCATTCTTCTTGTTCTTTCCTCTTTACAGAGCGGACATCTGGTCTTTCGGAATAACAGCGCTTGAACTTGCTCATGGTCATGCCCCATTTTCCAAATATCCGCCGATGAAAGTAATCTCTTAGTTTTCTGATAGTTATATCAGTTTATTATTGTATGTGCTTTGCTATTGCTTTTTATTTTAGTTACTGATTTGAATGTTTACTTCCATTTTGCTGCAGGTTTTATTGATGACCTTGCAAAATGCTCCTCCTGGTCTAGATTATGAAAGGGACAAGAGGTTCTCTAAGGTTTGTGCTACTCAATTCTGTCTTAGTGACTGGTATAACTTGTTGGTATCTATAGCATCATTCTAAGAGGGTTATTATCTCCAGTCTTTCAAGGAGATGGTAGCTACTTGCTTGGTGAAGGACCCAAAGAAACGCCCAACTTCAGAGAAGCTTTTGAAGCACCCTTTCTTCAAAAACGCACGCTCGTCTGATTATCTAGCTCGAACCATTCTTGATGGCTTTGCTCCATTAGGTGAACGGTTTAGGGTGCTCAAGGTCTCTTGTTTACCATTGTTATTTAATTTTTGCTCTGTTTAAGATGGGGAACATCTGTGGCACGCTGATCTGGTCTTTTATGTCTCAGACAAAAGAAGCTGAACTTATTGTACAGAAAAAGGCTCAATATGAGGACAAGGAGCAATTATCACAGGTGAATAATGGAGATCTTTTACATTTCTCAACAAAATGTAACTCATAGTGCTAGGTTCTTTCCTTAATGTCTGATTAAAATTTTAGGTTTTGTATTCTGAGTGATCCAACTTCTATCAGTTCCATGGTTGTCCCAGGTCTTAAAGATTAAGAGAAACTATTGCAGCTAATTTTACTTTAATTAATAAATAACCTAGGTATATAAAAATTTATCATTACATAGTATTTGTTTATGAACCTTCCACCTTGCAGCAAGAGTATATGAGAGGAATCAGTGCCTGGAATTTCAACCTGGAGGACATGAAAAGTCAGGCTGCACTTGTAAGTAGTTTCAATTGCCCAGCTCAATTTATTATTTGTTAAGCGGTGTTATCCAGAATCTATTGTCTTGGGTTCCCTATGGTTCTATATTTATGTTGGCATCCTCCACCTATTCTTGATTGGTTTTAGGTTGGATGCTTTACATTATTTATGTGGATGTTGCCCAAGACCTGCTCAATTATTTTATCTCATCAAAAATGCTGATTGTTTTACTTGCAGATTCATGATTACGATGATGTGCCAAATGCAGAAGATCAAGATGGCAGCAGGAAGCAAAGTGACAGGAATGGTGTCGCTGGATTATCTGTGGAGAGAATGTCTTCTGAAACGGCTAGTACTTCCATTTCTCCAAGTAGCCAGGAGGTACCAGTTATAACCCAAAATTGTTTCTCTTTAATTGAACTTTCAGACCAAACGGTTAAAGCTTGTACCTCAATATTTATATCCTCTTTAACTTGTTTCAGGAGGGGCTTAACAATCTTCTAGATCTTGAGAGATCACTTGCTTCATTTCCTATTATACCTCTTCAAGCACTCAAGTATGACAATTTTTTATACTTTCTTGAATTTCTGTTGTGAACAATACATTGTTATAACATATTTAGGAGGCTATCGTTATTAACATTTGTCACATTCAATGAGATTGTGAAATGTAGTTTTTTTTCAATTAGAAAACAGTAGCTTCTCACAAGTTTAATCTTTCAGCTTTTAATTTATGTGCTTTTTTAGTATCTTCTTTATATATTTTAAAAGCGTATATTGCATCTCCTCAACTAATTACTATTGTTTTGGAGAAGTAAAGGTTGACAGTCAAATTGTTGCAGAAACTGTTTTGATATTGGTGAAGATTATGAGGGTGCAAAGAGTCCAAATCTGAGAGGTGTTAACCAATCAGGAAGTGAGCCATTCATTATAAAGTCACCAAGAGCTGCAGATCTAGATGCTAGTAGAAACAAGGGTGAGAATTCCAGGCAAAGTGAATCTTTACCTCATCAGGTCATTTCAGATCACAAAAAGTTCTTGAGCGGTCCACTAATACCTGATAATACCTTCTCTCCCAGAAATGGTGACAGGTAAGCTTTGTTCTAAGTGAAGTTACCCCCAAGCTGCAAAACCTTATCACCAAACATGATAAAATAATTGAAGCGAAATTTCCCAGAAAAATATAGGAAAATCATTTACCCATTATCAAGCTCGGCATATGATGAGTTTCTAAATTCTGTGGATTTCAAGTTAAGAGTAGTCCTAGGTGTATGATCTGCTACACATGAGATAAGGAATGTCTTCTTGACTTGGTCATTGACCCTACTTTCCTGTAATTAAAGAACTTACTTTTATCATTGTCATTCACTTTACTGAATTTTTTTTTATAATCTATATTAAATTGGGTTTATCAAAAATATTTTGAAGGGACTTACCACAGCCCAAATTTCAATCTGCACACAACTACAGTGGTCCGTTTTTGTATCGCTGGAGGAGAGAAACAAATTACCCTTCATCAGGTATTTCTTTTTTCTACTTAAGAACTATGCAACGTTTTTGTAGCCTAACAAACTTAGTTTAGTTTCTTTCCCGCTTTTACTTACCAGAGGACGCATCAGAGGGAGCAGTTGTTCGACGGGGACGCTTTAAGATGACTTCAGCTGAACTCAGTCCCAAGGTACATCTGCAATATATTGAAAAGTTTAGCTCATATGTTTAAAGAAACTTTGCAACCTATTTGGTATATTATTCTGCTGTTGTGCAATAACATGCATCTTTTTTACTGATAAACAGCCTCTACTTGAAATCAGATGAACAGTTGGAAATCTTGCATATTTGGCATGTCTATTTTTTCCTGTCTGTTATGATCTACTGCAGTGAAATTTATCCATATCTATAAATGTCTGCAAAGTTAGCCACCATTTGCTAGGAATCATCTAAATGCTGCATCAACGAAATTGTATAATATCTATTGCCATCAACTGTTACATTTTAACATCACTCCGTGCAAGTTATAATTCTGCTAAAGTGCTACATTCTAAATGATTTCACTGAAGGTTTTGGTTTCATATTTTTTTGGTTCGTTACAAATGATCGTATTGTATTTGATTATGCATTAATTTGCTTGTTATGAAAGGTGCAGTTCCTAATTTGAAATATATTTTTCATCCTAAATGTCATTGCTTTTTGTTATGTTTATCCTCTGATACATGGACTGTTACCATGGGAACGTTTTGGCTTATGCTTCCTCATTGCAGCCTACGAAGTTGCTTCTACAAACTGTCTTCTATGACTATATTATCTCTGTTTTTCAGATGCAGAATGATAAGGATTGAACTTATTAATTTATCTTTTAGGCAATGGCTTTGTAACCATTGCCATTATTTTCTCTCATTCAGGGACCCACAGACTTCATATTTAATCCGATTACCGGAGGTTCAACGAGTCCAACATCTCTAAACCCTACAGTTAGTGCAGTTCTCCCATCTCTACAAAGCATTTTGCAACATAACACTATGCAAAGGGTACGTTTGTGTTTGTATGTGCTATCTCATCTCATGGAGATCGCCTGTAAAACAAGTTCTTATTTTTATGATTGCCAACAGGAAGAAATCATTAGACTGATCAAATATTTGGAGGAAAGTTCTGGTAAGCCACTATATTTTGATCGACTGCATTTTTTGCTGCGTAATCATGGAAGAAATATACGATGTCAAATATGGCCCGTGTTACTTGTACAGGTAAGCTTGGGGATTTGACAGAGTCGGGCATCAATGACCTTTTGAAGGTATCAACCGTAACTTATCCATAACCAAACGACCTTTCTAATGGGATATCATATTCCATGGTGTCAGTTACTCTCTTCATGTATGCTTCCTTATAACATGGTTTCCGGCTTATGCCGATGTGCAGATAGCGCCTTCCTCTTCAAGGGAGAGAGAACTGCAATTCCAGGTGCTTCAGCTGCAACAGAGGTACGAGGTGAAGCACAAAATGGTGCGAACTTCCTTTCTTTCTTATGCACATTTTACTGAAATTTTATTTATGGTGTCAGTATGGGGAACCTCAGTGAGGAATTGCAGAGACAGAAAATGAAGAACATGCAGGTTCGTGCATTATCTCGAATATTATATTGTGGAAGTAGCGAATATGACCACTCAGATCCGATACATGTTGGGTATGGAGATCTTATACTCCGAATATATTAAAAATATAGTATAAATGACATAACCATGCCGGATTCATATTCCTATCCAACACGATTTGATTGTAAATTCTCTTTACCTAATGTCTGAAAACCGAGTAATTTTACTTTGCGTGCAGTTAAAGAAACGATTAAATGCATTGTCCAACGACAAAGAGTGAAGCTGAAACAACAGTTGGACTGCCTGCTTATTTCTCCATCGATGTTAGGGTTCATAAAGGAGCATTCTTTTAGGTATATAGAGGTGCACTTGCTTCTTCCTTTTTCTCTAGTGTACACCATATGCCCGGCGTCTCTTAAGCAGGACTGCAAATTTTGAGACGCCGTTGCTTGAATCTCAGTCTCTGGTAACTTTGCTGTATTTATTGACCACCATATTATATGTATATTTACAAGAGATGAATGTTAAAGATGTATTTTCTTTTGAATAATCTGCGGTGTAGTATTTATTAAGTGATAGCATGCACACCTTGTAAACCTAACTGCCAGAACTCATTATCTGAGCAAGAATTTATTTCTAGGTTCAACACTTTTTATCATATTTTGAGTTAATTATATCACACGTTATCAAATTATAACTTTCATTTTAAATTGATCCATACATTTTTGAATAATTCAATTTTATACCTTAACTAACTATTGAATAGTTTAATTCAAACTTTTGAATAGTTTAATTTCATTTTAATGTATGAACTTTATTTCAAATTGGTCTTAATTTTTTTTGAACATTTTAATTTTAACTGTGGCCTTTGTTATAAATTGTCCTTAAACTTCCAAATGTTTCCCTAAAATTATTAGTATATGTCAATTAAATATTCTCTTAATGAAATTAGTATAACAATTAGCACATACACAATGTAATAATATTTTAATAATTTTGAACTCAATAATAATTTATATCACATCATATTATTGTATTGTTTATAAAATAATTAATAATTTTATATTATTTTTATTAAGAGGAGACTTGATTAATATATACCAATAATCTAAAGAAAAATTTGAACATTAAATCATTTAGAAACTAAACTAAACTAAAAGTTAATGACATTAAAATAATCAAAAATATTTCAGAAACAATTTAAAACATTAAAAAGTTTAGAGATCAATTTAAAAGAGTATATTAATTTAATAATTTAAGATGTAATTAAAACTCATTTTTTATTAACAATTTGGACGTAAATAACTGCTGGCTTAACCATAATTGAACATTGACTCAAGCAAACATTACCATTTTTTGAGTTAATAAATCACACTGACACTGTTTTTACTCTCTGTATCTCATAAAACTGAGTAGACAAATTATTCATATAATAAAAAAATTTAAAGAACAAAAAGGGAAACCAAAATTATTTTAAAATTTTAGAAAAAGTATTCAAAATTAAATAAAAATGAAAAAAAATCCTTCTTAAAACCCCAGTCCAAAAGAAACCCGAAAAAATAATAATAGAACTGGAAAGGCTCAGAGTGTTTGCTATCTCTGCTAAAAAAAAAGCTTTTAAAAAGCTTTTCTCATACAAGAGGTGTCAGAAATTATAAAAAAAAAGCACTCTTCATCTTCGCCTTCTTATCATCATTAATATCTCTCATTCAAGATCTGTTTGGCAAGAAAGAAAAAAAATACATAAATGAAAATAAAGACCCAGAAAACAAGGTTTCGGAGAAAATAAGGCAAACTAGCTCCAATAACAACCAGGACCAACGAGGACCTCAAATTGATTCCAATCGAATTTTCAAATATGAGTTGATTCCATCCGACCATATGATATTTTTATAAATAAATCATTAATAGGTAACTATATAATTATATTTAATACATTCAAATAACGATTTTTAGTAGATTATTACAAATTAATAATAGTTAATATTTAAATCTAAATATTTGATATCTTAAAATTTTAGTATTTAGAAACCCATTAAGTTACCTAAATAATAAGATTGAATGTTGTTCTATTTAGAGGTCTTGAATTTGAACAGTTATGTCTATACAATGTGTTATTAATTAATTAAGAAAATTTTAAATTGTGAAAAAGAAAATCAATGTTTTCTCTCAATATTTTTGTGTTGCCTCCATTTTTTTCCTATGATTTATGTTTAGTCATAAACTAAATCGATTGAATGTTGTTTATCGATTGTCGGTGATTTTTTTCTCTTTTTTTCCATCCTATGTTTTTTGTTCTCCTTTTATCTTGAGTTCTTCCACCCTCAATTTTGAATAAGAATATTTGTCGTTGTGCATATTTTTTCCTGTTCTTGTGACACACTTTTTTTCTTTGATCTTATGGCACGTTTCTTATGAATTTTGATACATTTTTCGTATATTTTTGTGGTTGTTTTGGTGCTCGCACAAAGACCGTCACGATATTTGTTGTCGATGGTTACGTATAGTAAGATCCCCTCTTTGATAAAAGGTTATTTGTCGATATAACCAGAATGGTGTAACGAAACATAATGCTAAATTATTTGGTTCGTTTATCATTTTTTTATTATTTTGTAAAAAATATCGTTAAAAAAACAAAAAAAATTGTAAAGATTACTTATTTTTTATTATATTAAACGTCATTATCAATGATAAGTCTAATTTTGATGACTATTAACCCTATTTTTATTTTTATGTCTTGGTAGTTATAATTCTGATTTTTTATTATTAATAAAATCTAATTACTTGCATTATTACACAGAGGAAAAAATATAATTGCATTGTTTAAAGAAACGTGCTTCATGTTAAAATAAAAATAAAATAAAATTGTGCTTCAGTCTCTTTCCTCCGTAGGAAACACTGCAAAGATACGCATACTAGCCTGTAAACGAATCGAACATACACGAACAGAAATATTTTTATGTTCGTTCATTTAATAAATAAACGAACATACACGAACAGAAATATTTTTATGTTCGTTCATTTAATAAATAAACGAACATAAACGAATAATTTTTTTTTGTTCATGTTCGTTCATTAAGGAATATAGCTTATTCATGTTCGTTCATTTAAATGATAAACGAACATACACAAATACAAATGAACAAACACAATTAACGAATAACACAAACACAAAAAATAAACTTATTCGAACACAACAAATGAATGTAAAAAAAAAAAGTAAACAACAAGAATAACTTAAAATTCATTAATATAAACTGCAACTTTAGAGTTAATTTGTTCGAATACGACAAAAATATACATAAATCATAAATAAACTATATAAACATAATAAAGTCTTAAAGTTAAATTGTTCAACAAAACAATCTTCTTGAAATCCAAACAACTTCAATAATCTTCGTAGCATATTTAATTTTATCTCTGTTCGAACATAAATGAATGAAAATAAATGAACATAAATGAATTAACATAAATAAACATAAATGAACGAATATAAATAAACATAAATGAACAAACATATAATCCAACGTTCACGAACGTAAATGAACGAACAAACCTTTTGTTTGTGTTCGTATTCGGTTCAATAACGAACTCATACCCCGCCACTACACCCCAGCTGAAATTGTTTCTTCTCGAAGAAATAAAAAACTAAAACAGCGATTCTCGCTTCATCCTCTTCGAACCGATGCCGTCAGGTACTTCGATTTCCATAAATGCTCTCTTCAGTTTCCCAGATCTGGGTTTAACTTTTATGATTTTGGATGTCTAGCTGGATCCCCTGATAAAAGGGTAGAATTTAGTAATTTACCTTCCCCAATTTAGGGATAGGGTTTGATTGTTTATTAGCAGAATAAGATGGAGAAAAATTTTGTTTTTCAGGCTTTTTTTTTTATAAGAATACTATGCCTCGTTAAAAAAATCCCTTTTTAAACAATGGATCTCGTAAAAGCTCCTTAATCAATGAAAAGAGGAAAATAGTAACTTAAAATTTCATTAATATTATAAAAAGTACATAATAATTACAACACCGTATAACTCCGTTAATAGGAGGTAGAAAACCAAAAAAACATCCATAAACAACAACACATAAATCAACCTATTCCAGCCTTAGCTAGGGCATTTGCCTCTAGATTAGCTGTCCTATTAACCCATCTAACAACCCCTTCAAAAATTTAAGTCTATCAACTATATCTTTAACAATAGAAGCATAAACATCTGGACATAATTAAACTTTCTTGTTTTTCATGATTTTGTTTTTCATGTTGTTATTGAATCTGAGTCTGATTGAATGTGAAACATATAGTTTTTGGATTTATATTTTATTCTCGATTTATTATTTTTGTTTTAAATTAATGAAATTAAAATATATAATGATAAAATTCAATAAAAACTTAATTTCAAGCATGGTATATTGACAAATTTACTTTTGATTTACAATATATCAAAATAAAGTTTTCAACATTATTATGATGAAAAAATGTTAGAAGATGAAGAGATACTCAACATTTAACAGGATAGAATTAACATAAACTCATTTGAACGTAAAATTCATGATTTCAAAGTCTGTTCTCTTTCTTTTTGTCATTAATACAGAACCTGCTAGAATTGAGAAACTGTAAAAGCACAAGAAAAACTGATTTGTCACATTTTAGCTGCCTGGTTTCTAGCTATAGTGTTTCAAGCAAAGCTGAAACTGAACAGTTTGCTAAACTTTTAACTGCCTGAGAGATGGTTCTCTTGATCCAAGCAGAAGCAGAACAGAACATTTTGCCAAACTGTTCAGCCATGGGAGTAATGGTTCCTATTATCGAAGCAAAAGCAGAACCGAAACTGAACATTTTGTTTGACTGATTAGTTTTTGGGGTTTATTCAGTGAAATGTAGTTTGATTAATAAACTTAAGAATCTGATGATAATTTTGGGCAGTTAAGCTTACTATGTTTTACTTGGATTCTTTAAAAATAGTTTTTCGGGTTTATTCAATGAAATGTAGTTTGAATTATAATGTTATGGATCTGGAGTTAATATTTTGATAGTTAACGTCGCTATGTGTGTAGGTTTTCTGTGATTACATTTTTCTCTCATTATAGTTAGATTAGTTAACTTTTGTTGGTATCATAGTTACAAGATTCAGTTGGGTTTACTGTTAATTCTTGTATGAAGACTTGTTTTGTTGAATCGGTAAAAGATAATTTCTGGGAGAAATGTATCTGGAAGGGGTTGGTGCCTCCTAAAATAGAAACTTTTATGTGGCAAGTAGCCCATCAGAAATTGGCAGTTAAGTTTGAGCTTCAAAAAAGAGGGGTTTCGGGGATTGTTGATGTTTCTTGTCCTTTGTGTAAAAGAGAGATTGAATCTATTCCTCATCTATTTTTCTCTTGCAAGGTGGCATGGTCCCTATGGAATAAGTTTTTGAATTTTTGGAATATTAGTTCGGACCTTCATGGAAATGCATAAGGATTTTTACTTGCTTGGAATGACATGATGTTTTCTTCTTCTATTTGGTCCTTAATTCCGGGGTAGTGCTTTGGACCATTTGGAAATTTAGGAATGCCGTGGTGTTTGAAGGAAGGTCTTTGGATCACATTGAGTTATTTTTCATGGCTAGGCTAAGGCTTGCTTCTTGGTTCTTAGCTAAGTTCAACGAGGTTACTATTACTAAAGACTCCCTGATAAGTGATCCATCTATTGTAGATTTCTGTTCTTCTTCTAGAAATTCGACTACTAAAATTGTGTCTTAGATTCCTCCTCCAAAGGGTTTTCTAAAACTGAATGTAGATGCAGCAGTTTGCAATGATTGGCGAAAGAGCGGTGTGGGTGGTTTACTAAGAGATGAGGCTGGTAAGATTATGGGTTCTTTTAAAGAATCTGCAGATCCAGGCCCTCCAACTTTGCTGGAGCTTGTTGCCATCAGTAGGGTGTACTTATCTTTGAGCATATTCTTCAGAGGTTTAAGAATCGGTGGATTGTTGAATCTGATAGCAAACTTGCTGTGGATTGAGTTAAGAATTTAGATAGCTGTCCTGGTGTTTTCCTTCATCTAGTCAAAGATATTGTTGCCATGATAAGAGTTTTGGAAGGAGCTATCAGATGGGTTGACAGAACGGCAAACATAGAAGCTGATAGCTTAGCTAAGGATGGTATTGGGTAGTTATTGTTTGTTGGGTTGGGATATTGTTTAATTGAGTGAAAGATGTGTTCTTTGGTGTGTTTCGGGTTGTTTTTGTAAGGGGCTTCTTTGTTTTAAACATTATGTAATCTTTTACTTATTAATGAATTATGAGGCACTCTTTTCCTCCTTCCGCTGATTAGAGAACACCAATTGGTGTTCCGTTAATCATGAAGAGGGTTTTTAACAAGGCCTTAACTTCCAATAAAAAAAAAGATTCAGTTGGGTTTCAACTGCATTACTGTTGTCTTTTTTTCTGCCGTGGACAGAAGTATGGTTCTCTTGACTCACTTGAACCTGTAAAAGACATTCAAGAGAAGGACCAAAAAGCCGTTGACACGTCATTAGTGGCTGCAATTGATCGAACTTTGAAGAAACATACTGATAATTTGATGCACATGTTAGAAGGTGTTGGTGCCCGACTCACACAGCTGGAGAGTAGAACCAGTAACCTCGAGACCTCTGTTGATGATTTGAAGGTGTCTGTAGGAAACATTCATCAAAGCACTGATGGA